ACAGAAACAGCAGCAGCAGCAGCAGAAACACCAGCAGCAGCAGCAGAAACAACAGCAGCAGCAGCAGAAACAGCAGCAGCAGCAGCAGAAACGGCAGCAGCAGCAGCAGCTGCAGTGACACGACGGCAGCTGCGGTGTGTGTAGATAAGCCCCCCCTCATAGCTCAAGGAGGCTCTCTCTAGGCCTGGGGAAGCAGCAGCAGCAGCAGCAGCAGCAGCAGCGACAGCAGCAGCAGCCATAGCTACAGCAGCAGCAGCAGCAGCAGCAGCAGCAGGCGGTAGGAAGAAGAGTGGCACCATGAGGATCGATGACTGCAGCGACATGCGCAGCAGCAGCGCAGCAGCAGCAACGCCGAGTCTAGAGAAGATGAACAACAACAGCAGCAGCAGCAGCAGCAGCAACAGCAGCAGCAACTGCAGCAGCAGCAACAAGAACAGCAGCAGCAGCACCATAAACTTGCAGAAGACGGTTGAGTCTCCTACAAGTGAAGACAGCAGCAGCAGCAGCAGCAGCAGCGGCAGCACGACAACGAGCAGGAGCACGAGCAGCAGCAGCACCACCACCACCACCAGCAGCAGCAGCAGCAGCAGCAGCAGCAGCAGCACGATGGAGATACATGGTTGCGGTGGCGGTGAGTGTTTAGTTTGTTACGACGATATAAATGAGGAGACATATTGTGAATATAAAAAAAAAGGAGACAGCTGCTGGCACCCCTCTCTCTTCTGCTATCCCTGCGTGCAGCAGCTGCAACAGTCACAGGTAAACATATATCCTGCTGCTGCTGCTGCTGCTGCTGCTGGTGCTGCTGATGCTGTTGATGCTGCTGGTGCTGCTGCTGGTGCTGATGCTGGTGCTGGTGCTGGTGCTGGTGGTGCTGATGCTGGTGCTGCTGCTGCTGGTGCTGCTGGTTGGGGTGGGGGGGGTGGCATGTCTTGCATGCATGCTGCTGCTGCTCCTGGTGCTGCTGCTGCCGTTGCTGCTGCTGCAGCTGTTGCTGCTGCCGTTGCTGCTTCTGCTGCTGTTGCTGCTGCCATTGCTGCTGCTGCATCTACTTGTGCTGCTGCTGCAGTCCCTCTAACTGCTGCTGCAGTTATATAAGCTATTCATTTCCCTCTGCGTGTGCTGCCCCTTCCTCTGCTGCTGCTGCTGCCCCTTCTGCTGCTGCTGCTGCTGCTGCTGCTGCCCCTTCTGCTGCTGCTGTTGCTGCTGCTGCTGCTGCTGCTGCTGCTGCAGTTCAAGCGTTACTGTGAAGGTGTGTGTAACTCAACCTGCGCGAAGGAGCAGCGGGCCCTGCTGCTGCGGGGGCCCCCCATAAACCTTCACGATAAGCATGCGTTCCCTGCTGCAGCAGAAGAAGAGATAGAGGCCCTTTGGCTCTGCAGCACCAAACAAACTGTCTCCCCTAAACTCAAGGATAGTCTTGTGGGTCTAGAGAAATGAATTTATATATATATGTATATATATATATATATATATATA